AAAACGTTTTGAAAATTTTGATATTGTTTTTTCATAAAAACTTTGGCATTTAAATTTAAATTCCATTTAACGAAACTAATTATAACTACAAAACTGATAATCTTTTTATCCTAACAGATCAACGTAATATCACATGATTCACTTAAGTGTGATTATATCAAGATTGTGACTAAAGATATTGGTGAAACAAAATTAGATTGGTGAAATAATTACACCATTTTACCAATCACCAATCGGTAATGGTGTAATTGGTGAAATAGTGAAATGGTGAAATGGTGAAATTGGTGAAATTGGTGAATTGGTGAATTGGTAAAATTGGTAAAACGGTGAATTGGTGAATTGGTGAATTGGTAAATTAGTGAATTGGTGAAATAGTGAATTGGTGAATTGGTGAATTGGTGAAATGGTGAAATGGTGAGTTGGTAAAATAGTGAATTGGTGAATTGGTGAATTGGTGAAATAGTGAATTGGTGAAATGGCATAATAACAATAATCACTTGCAAATAAATAAATTTGAATTAGTTATTATGCAGAAAGACCTCAACGTAAAATTATTACCTTTTAATATTACCAGAAATGCTGGTGATATTATGAATTTGTTAAATAGCCTTTTTTATTTTATTTTTATTCGTTGTTTTTATACACTTTTTAATGATTTTTTGATTTGACGCTATAATGTTAGTTTGGTAAATTTAGGCTTTCATATATATTTGAGCTTCAGTTATATTTAGTTTTCGCATGACGCACACACATTATTTTGTTTAGGTTTCGTGTAATGTTGGTGAAATTAAATCCAGAATGATAAGTTAATTTCACCACTGTTGGTAAAATGCGGTAAAATTAATTTTATCAGCATTTTAAGTTTTGCAATACATATTTTAAGCTTCACTTGATACCTTAATTCGGGTTTTATTATAATGCCTTGTATTTAATCATTATAAAAGGTTTTTATTAATCAATAACCCTTATAATTATATTTTTTACTAAACTATTTATACTTTGCCAACTATATACGTTGCGTTAACTAGTAATGCTGGTAAAATAAAATCAGGGTGGTGAAATAATTTCACCATTTCACCAATCACCAATCATATTGGTGTAACTGGTATAACTGATGAATTGGTAAAATTGGTGAAATTGGTGAATTGGTGAAATGGTGAAATAATACGTAAAATGTTGAAATGTTGAAATTGATAAAATGGTAAACATTTATTTATAAATGGTTAATATCTGTTATATATGTATTTTTAATTAATTTTAATATTTGTATTTGATATTATGCTATATAATATCAAATAAAACTGCCAGCATAAATAGTTGATGCATGTTAACGTTAATAATTAATCATTAATAATAAATGAATATTTTACTATTTTATCAATTTTACTATTTTATTATTTCACTATTTCACTGTTTCACCATTTCACTATTATTTCACCAATTTCACCAATTTCATGAATTCACCATTTTACCAATTTTACCAATTTCACCAATTTTACTATTTTACCAAATTTTTATTTTGGTGTAATTTTGGTGAAACTATTTCACCATTTCATCTGATAAAATAGCTTAATTTCACCAGCATCACTAGTTGTGACTATCGTATTTTGGCTCATGATATAACGGATCTGACCCATTGTAAACTCTAATTTTTTAGGTTAAGTGAAACATGAATTTGTGAAGCATGAATTTATGAAGGAACCATAAAATCGATTTTTTAATTGCTTGTATGAATCAAGAATATCATCTCCTTTTTATTTTATTTTATTTTATTTTATTTTATTTATTTTTTTTTGAGTTGTATTTTACCAACCCAGTAGCACTACATAAAAAGAATTAGAAATTCTGATAAAGAGGATGGAAAAGAATAAAAATCTCCAAAATAAAAAACATATACAGTAGACCTCCCTAAATGCACGTCGTCAAGACCAGCTTTAGAGCATGTATTTAGGGAAGGCTGCAATTAAAGAACACTAATAAAATCACAATGTGACTATTATCACGCAATAAGCATGACTTTAGTAGTCTAGAGTAATGAATTTGATTGGTTGATAATCACATGGATACATTTATGGAGGAAGTTTTTATAAGTAGGCCAGACAATTAGCGTGCACTTACAGAATAAAGAACGTACATTTATCTATAAGTCCCACCATGGGCCCGGGCTTATATTATGCATTTAGGGGGGTGCTGCACTTAGGGAGGGTGCACTTAGGGGTCTGACTGTATATATTTACAAAAAAGTGAATATGAAAACTGTTAATTGTAAAAACAATAGTGTAGAAATAAACAAATACACAATTATAAATGAGAACAACAAAGGATGGTTAATTCTGAAAGTACTAGTAAATTGCTTATAATCTAGCCACATATATTTTATCAAGAGTTCACTTTTGTCTATCTAATACATTTATCCTATTAGGAATTAAAATAAAATAAATAAATCAATTAAATAGATATTAATGACACATTCTAGTTAACACAATAATATCTATTCTAGTTAGCAAAATAATATTTTTACCTTTTCTCCTTTTTCAATTTTGCATTCAAATAGGCACAAGTTTGACTCAGACAACTGATTTCATGAGAAGAAAAGACACCTTCCTTGACAAATTCTTTAAATGTGAAACAGCTTTAAAGACAATAATTATAAGTGAGTGTTAGTAGTACCAAAAATGATGATCACCTTTCTGAAGTAAAGCAGCTTTACTCATCTTGCGAGTGAATAAGTGGACAGAAGTTGTCTATGGAGTTCCTCAAAGCTATCATTGATTTCTGCACGTCATTTTTGCTCTGATTGAATGTGCATTTAACGTCTAAACTCAGCATGATCGAATGGCTCATTATGTGATAAGTTTTGCCTGTCATGCATATCTTTGCTGTAATGAAAAATAGAATATCCGATTCATCTACTAAAGGAAGGTCTTGATATTCAAGTGAAGTTGCAGGTGAATAGATTTAAGAAAATTGTGTTTCTCGAACTTCGTGCATATAGTCAAGAGAAAACATATTTAAAAGTTCAGTTTGCATTCCTAAAGAAACTGGTGATAGGCTATTTAAAACTTTATTAGCTTATAAAAAGTGTAGTAACAAATATGAACCAAAAAGTACGCAGTAAATTTATTTATTATTTAAATTTCTTTTTTTTTTTTAAATATCCTAGTCGAGCGTACTTAGTTTAACAAAAAAATAGATAAATAAAAAAATTTAACTAAGCTTAGAGACACAGGGTTTGAGTGTCTATAAAGAATATTTCATCTGAGTTTGGATTCTTGGGGGTTTGAGAGTGATTCTGCATGTTCTCAAAATTTTTTTTGACCAGATACAAGGATCCTTTAAGCAAACATAGGGAACCTTAAATATTTATTTTAATAAATATTTATACAATTGTACATATATCAAACCTGTCTTAAATTTTTCAGGTAATGAATAGCACTAGAAATATTAAATAAGACAAGAGCAAACAAGCAAGTCAATTTATCTGATTTTATTTCATGAATTACGTATAAAAAATAAAAAACTTTATACATACAGTATTATTACTATATATTTATTAATACAATTGTAACTTAAATTTTTTAAACAACAGGTTTAAAAAATATATAAGATCTGCAATATGTATAACTGGATATAAAAAACTTGCTTTATGATATATTTAAAATAAGTATATATATGCTATTAATATATTAATATATAATGATAATGCATAGAATTTATCAGAGCAGCCTTTGCCATTCTACAAGTCAGAAGATTTTAACTAAGATATACAATTCTATTTATTCAAAGTATCAGTGTAAACTACAGTTAATATAAATTATAATATAAAACTATAGCTGACTATAGTTTTTAAATAAACTATAAAAGTACTATATTTATTAGACAAATGTTTGGGCAAGTGCATAATTATAAAAAAATTTAAATAAATTAAACACGAAATAAAGTTTAAACTTCAGCAAAATGTTAAAAAAGAAAACTATTATTACTTTGGCCGTAATCGAAGACTTTGAAGTTTTTAATCCAAAATCGTACAAGCTAGTCTATGTTTTAATCAAAGGAGAAGAATTTAAAGATGGAGAACAAAGATTCAAGATGAAAAATGTGGCGAAAAAACGTGAACAATTGTTTTGCAAAGAAATTAAGAAACATAATCAAAGGGTTGAAAGGGCAGCAATTATAAAAGACCAAGTCACTAAAGCACTTTTAATTTAGAATATGTCATCTATTGCGAAGTATGAAATGTTGTTAGATTTGGAAGATAAAGCAACTAAAGAACATTTAACTGTTGAAATATTCAAAGAATTTGAAGTATTGATTCATGGAAGTAGATTGAAAATTCCAAACACTGAAAAACCAGATGATTTGATCTTGGTACTTGCAGTACAATATGAAAAATCTAAATAGATTATTAATGAAATGTCTAATGGATCATCAGTATAGTGCGTATCAGTATAAATGTTATATTAGTAACATATTTGTGTAGCCTTTATACTTTTATTAGCATAAAAGTAAAATAAAGTATAGTGATAGCATTATTCATTTTCGTTGTTACTTGAAAGTCATCTTTACTTTATTATTGAAATATAATTTTGGTAACATTTATAGTAAAAGAATTATTGCAAATTTATAAAAAAAAGAACTATGGTATTTTGATACTTCTTTAAAGGATTCTTCAGTTTTATTATCTAATTTATCAAGTATATCTTTATGCTTTTCTGTAACTTCTTTAAACTTATCTAACTCACATCTTGAAAGTAAATATAGATCTGATTTGTATTTATTGCGAACATTCTCAATATAATTGCTTATGTTATCTAGTAAATTTAAAAAAACACTTTGAAATAATTTCTCAAATTTTTGTTTTTGGTCACTAATAAACTGGTATTTGGTTAATACTTTAAAATTAAAAAACTTGTCGTTTTGGACATCATTAATCAAAGAGTTGTAAAAAACTATAATATCTTGATAAGAACAAATTACAATAAACTTAGGTATCTCTTCATCTTCAAGTTCTTTGATTACACTGTAAAATTTGTCAGTAACATCCTTGAGTTTATTATTTGAAAAATTCTTATTGTTTGAAAAAGTATCATTCTTGTATTTATTACAGAGTATTAAATAACTTTCAGATTTGGTTTTGATATTCAGATACTTGATAAATATTTGTGCTATTTGATGTTGAAAGTTTTGAGCATATCTGTTAAAAGTCATTTCAAAATTCTTAACATTCATATTTCTTTAAAGTCAAATTTATCGCTAAACCCACTATTTATTACAAAATGTGATTATAGTAGAGAATATACCTGGTTGATATTTGCTAAAAAAAATGAGATTTTTTAAAGACTTTGAATTGTATAGAAAAACCCAAGATATTTTGGTTCTTTGCAAGAGGATTTTTTTTAAATATTATGACATTACGTTAGATTTAGAGAATTATATTTATAATTAATCAAAAGTATAATTTTACTTTGAAATCAAATATAGTTAAACTCTTATCAATTGTACAGATTTTGAATAGTGATAGTTCTGTTAAGTAAACTAGTATATAGAATTGAGTAAAGTTATAATTCATTGTTATTGCAATTGAAATAATTCACTTTTTAGATTGAAATATTTGAAAATTAGCAATTTTTGTATTATTACACAATCTATTCACTATAATGATAAATCAATTCATTTTTTTAAATCAAGTATCATATAATTCATATTTCAATTGAATAAATCTATTGAAAAGTTTATTTAAAACTTGGTAGTAATTTAAATTGATGATCTGTCATTATAAACTATCATTTTCGATATTGAAATATATCGAAATGAAATTACCAAATAATTGCTATTTAGAAATTATCAATAACTAAACATTCCAAATATTATTACATTATGTTATATAACTGATAGTCTTAAGTTTTCTTATACTCTTAAAAAATTTTAATATCTTTAGCAACTACAATTAGGAGGATTTGCTTTTTATAATCTTTCCAACAGTAATCAAGATTATTTACAAACTTTAGCAAGATACTTGCCTAACTCTTTAACAATTCTTAATCTGTTAAATATTTATAATTATAATTATGAAAGCTTGAATTATTTCTTACAAGATTTTGATATAGAGTAGATTAAATTAGAAGTTTTCATATTGCCTTTTGATATTGAGCTAGATTAACTTCAAAATTTGAAAAAATTTATTGAAAAGGTGAAACATTTAAAGTATAAGCAGTATCATCACTTTTGATACATTATATTTTATAAAATAAATTAAAAAGCTTCTTAATAATATTAAATCTAATAACTGTTATTTTAAACTATACTTTTAGGATTATATTATTAAGGTTTAAAAATAAATTTATTATATATTAATTAAATTTTTTTTTTTATCAATTTACAAATTTATAAAAAATATTTAAATTATATAGTTTTTAATTTATAACTTTTTTTTTATTATGCAAACTATATTTTATCTTTTAAGTAAAAATGTTCTTTATATTATTTTATATATAAGATAAAATTTTTTTAAAATTTAAAAAAATTTTTATTAGAATAATTTATAAATAAATACTTGTAAATATAAAAAAAATAGTAATTTTTTATATAAAATATACTTATATAGCAAGTTTATAAAATTAAAAATTAATTAATAATTAATATATTTTTAAATAATATAAATATAAAATATATATTAAGAGGTTTATTTTATATATATAAATATAAATAAAATTTTTAAATTCTAAAAAAATTTTATAATTACTAACTTTTTTATATATAAGTATTATTAATTTTACTATATAAAATTACTAATTTTTATTAGGGATAATATCTGATGGCGTGAAGTTGATCAGAGAGCTTAAATAGGGGATCCACAGGCGGATCTTAGGTATGGTAATTGGTGGGTAACTATAGATGGAAATAGATATAGCGGAACCCTTAAATAGGCAATGACTAAAGTTGTACATGTGATCAATTGTACTCTCGTTGATGTAGCATAATCAGGTGAGGTCTATATAACCAAACTGGTATTCAAACTATTGTTAAATAAAATGTGCCAGACCCCCAAGTGGTCACCTTAACATTAAAAAAAAAAAAAAAAAAAAAAAAAAAAATTACTAATTTTTTATATAGTAAACTAATTTAAATAGGCAATTTTCTTTTTATTATAACTTTTTTTCTACATAATAATTATAGTTGAAATTTTGCAGGTTTATACATCAAGATACTTGCATAGCACAAAAAATACTTAATTGTGATTGGTTAATTTATAAATATATCAAAAAATTTTAATTTTTAAATTTTTTTTAAAAAAATTAACCAACTTTGAGATTTTTTTAACCAATATATAATCAAAAATTAATTTAATTTTTTTTTATAAATATATTCCAAATATTAAATATATTTATTTAATTGCAAGTTAATATGTAAAATTTTGTGTAATTATATTTTAATTCAAATGTATTAGGTTGGTGTATCGTGCTTAATGATATGACCAATATAATTTAACGATTCAAGAATTTAAAGTGATATTCTTAGAAAGAGGCTCTACTAAAAGAAACCAGGATAATCCTCATCACTAATAATTAAATATTCATTTTGCTCAAAAAAAATACGAAGTAATTTTAAAAACTGTCAATTTGATGATTCGAATATTGTATAATTAAATCTATGAATATCATAAAATTTACATAATTTAAAGAATTTTAGACAATATTAGGACCTTTCTCAAACATGTAATTACTGTAATTAAAATAAATTGATTTTTTTAGTTAAAATAATTTATCTCTATTCACGTGAAGCATCAATATTTAATCATCACATCAAGAGTAATACAATAAGATTTCATTATGAAAAAACTATAGATTAAATGATTCATTTTGAAATTCAAAGCAAATCCAAATAGAAATTAAGATGATACTAAGAATTCTGATATATATAAATGTATTCTTGTCGAGAGACATTTAATATTTAGAATATTTATGCCATATATTAATTCTTTCATAAAGTTCTCATATTCATGCTTTCATGTCACTAGTCTATTATCTGTCTTTAGAAAAATAAGAAAGTTATAAATAAAATAGATTAGTGTTGTAAACCTTTTGAAATGATCTAAATTTACCAAGTCTAATGCATCGTAGATTATATTGAAACGCCTAAACATACCTCTTATTTAACTTCTGAATTACATCAATTACCAATTACTTTGGTATGTTATAGAACTGGTCAAACGCTGGTTGTTCATGAAATTAATAAACTAATTCTTAAGATAAGCTGTTTGAAGTAAGATATTTCAAAGTTGGGATGAAGATTACAGACCAACAAAAGATAGTTTTATATTTAGTAGTAAAGACAAATATATGAGATCAGGTAGTTCTACCAATTAAAAATTGTTTTGTTTTGCAGACAAGCTTCAAAATATTTGGAATAGAGGAATATACAATGCTGACCAATCATATTTTTTTGCATCTCAATATATTTTATATTTTTTTTGTATTTTACAAAAATAGATAGTTGACCAAAATGGATAATTAATAAATATCTCGATACTAACCAATCACATTTTTTTGTATTTTACAATTATTATTGCTTGATCAGATGACTTTATTTAGACGAGGAATCATTTACAGGTTTTACAGGCTTTATATCAAATATGCTTGAACCTAAATAACTATATCTCTAAAGGAATATTTTATTCTATAACATATTACATATCTATGTCAACATATAAACATATCATATCAGGAATGTAGCTGAGAAGGAGTTATATAGCTATAAAGAGAATTGGTGATGTCGAATTGATAACATAAATGTTACTAAGATATAGGTTCTTGCACTGCCTATAGTAGCCGCAGGGTCTAGTCACCAAAATGTGAGGTTTATGTGCTATCTACAGCAGCTGTGAAACCTAAACACCAAACACAAGGTCCTTGCACTGCCTATAGCAGTCGTAGAGCCTAAATATCAAACACGAGATCCTTACACTGTTTATAGCAGCCGCAAAATCTATATACCAAACGTGAAGTTTTCACACTGCTTATAGCAGTAAGCACCTAATATGAAGTCCTTATTCCGCTAGTGATGGCTGCAAAACCTAACAGTACTAATTAATGGCGGGAGAGGTGGGATGATAGAGCCAGCCGTAACTCTAAAGCGAAAAGAAAGATAATCTCTTCTACTAACCAAAGGCGCCTTAAATACATTAATGATTACATATTCAGAAACATATAACCCATTCTCATAGTAATTCATATTCAACAATTATATACAGTAAACCAGAAAATACTTGTATCTAACAAGACACCATAAAGCTGTACACAAATATTTATAAGAAGTCAAACGACAAATTGAACATGTAAAGTCATCTGATTTCACAAAATAATATTTATTAACATCAGAACCAAACTGTGGTAGGTCTATTT